ATGGGTCACATTTTTTTTTAATCCATTCACCTATTGTTTGACATTTAGTTCTTTCTATCTTTTGGCTATTGTGCAAAGCGCTGCAAAAAAAATTACTGATGTGCAAATTTCTATTTGTGTTTCTGCTTTCATGTCTTCTGGGTAAATGTCTAGAACTGAGATTGCTGGGTGATAAGGCAATTCTCTGTTCAACCTTTTAAAGAACAATCCAACTGTTTCCTACAGTGGTTGCACCATTTTGCTTTCCCAGCAACAATGGAGGAAGGCTCCAATTTCTCCACAGCCTCATCAATACCTGTTATTCTGGATCCTGAGACATGGGAGGCACATCAGAGAGAGGGTCCGTCTGCAACAGCGGTGTGCAAGAGAGTTTGTGGGAATTTGTGTGCATGTGCACATGTGTAAGTGTGTGTATATGTGTGTTTGAATGTATATTGTTGTTGGTATGTGCCGTTGACTCACCCGTGACTCATAGTGACCCCATGTACAATAGCTCTGAAGCCTGCCCTGTCCTGAGCCAGTCTCACTGACTCTGAAACATCTAGTCCCATTACTCTAGTAACTGTGTCAATATATCTCATCTGGGGTCTTTCTTTCCTGCACTGTCCTTCCATCCTTCCGAGCATGATGTCCTTCTCCAAGGACTGCTCCCTCTGGGCCATATCCCCAAAGTATGTGAGATGGAGCTTCAAAATCTTTACTCCCAAGGAGAAACTTGGCTTCACCCTCTCCAAGACAGACCTGTTTGTTCTCTTGGTGGTCCATGGTATGTTACAAACTTTTTTCCAGCACCACAACTCAAAGGCATTGATTCTTCTGTCATCCTTAGTCATTATCCAGTTCTCTGATGCATATCAAATAATTGTGAAGATCATGGTCTGGATCAGGTGCACCTTAATATCTAGAGTGACATCGTTGCTCTTCAGTACTCTTGAGAGGTCCCTGATAGAGGATTTCCCCAGTGCAATTTGCCATTTGATTTCCTGACTGCTAATGCCAAGAGTGTTGATTGGGGAGCCAAGCATATGTGTGTGTACATATATGTATGTATGCAGGCATTTAATAAGAAAGTCGATGTAATTTAGGTTCCTTACTTCTCTCAGCTCCTTGCCAATATACCCCTTCCCAGAGATAGGCTATCCTGGGCCACTGAAATAATTACTGTCCATCCTCTTAACTTACGTATTAATTCCCTTGCAGGTGCTGTAATGAATGCCCATATATTTAATGGTAAAACAGCACACGGTAATGCTTAATGGTAAAACATCATAATTTATTCTCTGACAGTTGTTGATGGCCAGAAGTTGACTATCAGTTCCACAGGACGACCAAAAGTGAGGTGTCAGCAGAGCCCCTCCCCCTCTGAAGACCCTAGAGGAGACTCTATCCTCGGCTCTTCCAGTGTCCAGTGGTTCCTGGAGTGCATCACTCCATCTCTGCCTTCATCGTCACGGCGCCTTCTCATCTGTGTCTACGTTCGTGCTCTTTATCCTAAAGACATTTTGGTTACATCTGAAACTCACTGAATAATCCAGGATCATCTCGTTATTTCAAGATCCCCAACCGAACCACAGCTGCATAGAACTTACTGTATAAGGTAACATTTACAGGTCCTAGGGATTAGAACCTGGTGTTTTGAGAGGCTGGTGTTATCTGCCCTCCTTCACAACTCTTAATTTTATGTCATGTGCTTGTCTGTTAATGATCTCCCCCACTGGGCCAGGGGTCTGTTTTGCTCACACTCCAGTCCAAAGCCTAGAACAGAGTCAGATATGTAAGACCAAGGCCCGTTGCCATTCAGTTGGAACCAACTCAGAGTTGAACTTCCATTGAGTTTCCAAAGCTGTTAATTACAGGGAAGAGATTGCCCCTCTTCTCCCATGGAGAGGCTGGGGGGTTGAAACTCCCAGAGAGGCATAACCTTTGGGTTAGCAGTGCCCCTCTCTACATCACCAGAGCTTCCTCAGATCATCTTTTGGAAGTAGAGTGCCAAACTCTCTTCTAACGTGCCTCTGGATGGATTCGAACCTCCAGTCTTTGGTTTAGCAGTCATGAGTGTTAACTAGCCACACCATGGAGGACTTCTAGGACAAATCAGAGTAGAACTGCCCCATAGGATTTTCAAGGATGTAAATATTTTACAGAAGCAAACTGCCACATCTTCCTCCCATTGAGCAATTGGTGGACTCAAACTGCCTACCATTTGATTAACAGCTATGCATTTAACTACTGTGCTGGGGCACCCTTAGAGAAAGTATCCAAAATTAAAAAAAACTTCATTGATGTCAAGGCAAAAATGGATTCATGGGTGACCCTTCTTTGGGTTTTTAAAGTTGCAAATATCTAACCATTGAAGAATTTTAAAAATGTGGTTCAAGGCAGATATTTTTATGAAAAGTTTTCTCTATTGTAAAATTTGTTGTATATGGCTATGCTACTATCATGGAATAAGGAAAGAACAAGCATACCTCAAATAAAAAAATTCTGAGTTAAAAAAAAATAAAGTTGCAAATATCATGGGAGGAGCTTGTCCATCTTTTTCTCATGGAGCCACTGGTAGACTCGAACTTCCAGAGAGGAATGACCTGGGAGTTAGTGGCACACCTCCTTATTTATGCTCTAGTCCACCAGCACTCCCTAGACAAATCATTGTTGTTGTTGTTGTTGTTAAATGCTGTCGAGTCACAGGCGACTCATAGTGACCCTATGAAGTAGAGTCCTCAACGCTTGGATGTCTTTCATCCTCTCTCCAGGTTCATAGGGTTTCCAGAAGCCACCTATTACAGGAGTGGATGCCACTCCTCCTTCCAAGCTTATTTTAATCGGGAAGCTCCACCCCACTCTGTCCTCATTGGGTAAACAACCATTAACGCATTTGACACATTAGCCACCATTAGTTGGCAAAGAAAGAAATACGTGCAGTAACTCTCTATGGCGCTTACTACCCAGAGCTGCCCATGTAAAAAGAACATTTCACGGGATGCACAATTTCCATGCCTCCAGAGAATTTGCCTAGAATTTGTGAGTCCCTTATTCTTCAGATTGCATGGTTGCCTGTTCCCATACCTCCTTCTATCTTGGTCTTCCAAAGGAGACCTACACTACGCAGTCTGTGTTAGGAGTTAGGTCACTCCAAAGGAATTTACCTAATTTGGTGAAGATCTACCTAGCTATTTCCTCAGTAGAAAAAAGCATTTCTTTTGTATGGATGGATGATATAGTTTGGCATTGGCTGGTGCAAGAGCCCATTGACCTGAATTTAGGACTCTAAGTTGGGGACACCATGGGAGCTGAGGCTCCGTGAGACCCTTGAATGCAGGCAGTTTGCTCACCTGTGTTGCTCAAGGAGGTAGGAGCAGAGAGAGTTCCTTGTTAGGAAGGAGTGAAGACATGAAGGCAGAATGCGGGCATTTTCAGGGATCTCTTTCTTGATTGGCTGAGGCTTGTGGGCCTGAGGTAAAAGTGCTGGAGTTTGGGTTCTATGGTGGCCAAAGGAGGTCTTTTCCAATCTCCCTTGGAACCACTTCCTCATTTGGAAAATGCGAGAATGATCGTACCTCTGTCCTGGGGCTGAGTTAAAATTCTATATCCATCCCGAGCATAGTGCACAGCACACCACCACACTGTCGTACTTGTCTACTCTGTTATCATTATTGTTGCTCACCAATCAATTTTAGCTCATCCAGGAGCTGACTCTGATGCACAGATTTGCCTCAGGAAGAGTCACTGGATGGTGCAAACAATTAAGCGTCAAAACCACGAGCCAAAAGCTTGGTGTTTCAAGTACACCCAGAAATTCCTCCCAAGAAAGGCCTGGTCACACACACAGGGTCATGATGAGTAAAAGCCAACTTAACAGCAAGGGGGATTCAGTTGGATGGTTAATGCACTCAGCTGTTAACCAAAAGGGTGGTGGTTCGAGTCCAACCCGCAGCGCCTCTGAAGAAAGAGGTAATGATCCACTTCTGAAAAACCAGCCATCATGCCACTGTTATAAAACAGGACTGACATGGGGACTGGGGGGAAACTAAGAATAGAAGGGATAAATAATGAACACTGCATTGGGACAGATGAGAGAAAGAACTATTTAAAATTAATATGTGATTAGGCATTATTTACATGACAACAGTCCAGAGTAAGAGGTGCATAGCAAAATGGTCTGGGGTGGAGGGGGTGGTGGTGGTAGTGGTACAAATTACACAACAATAAATGAATTTTTTTAAAAAAGAAAACGGAACTGGGGGTGGGTAGGGGAAGAAAATGTGTAATAATGAATAAATGGAAATCCAAGTTTTCTATAAAATTTCGTTAAAATCACAATGAAAAATTATAAATATATATGTATATAAAGATATATACATACATATACAAAAATATATACATATAATGCATACATACACATATACATATATACATACATACATACACACATACATACATAACACACACACACACACACACACACACACACACCCCTAAAGGTCATGGAGCACAGTTCTGCTTTGACACCTGGGGTCATCATGAATTGGAATCGTTCAATGACTAGTTAACAGCACTTTGTTTGGGTCGTGGTCACAGTTATTACAAGTGAAAGAGAAAGGGGAGACAGAAGAAGCCAGGCAGGTGGAGTGGACTCCCTAAACCCTGGGAAGCAGGGATGAGCACAAACCTCAGATGGGTCTTATTCTCACTGAAGGTGGAGTCTTTACCCACCAGTTTCATCAGCCATTGGATTAGAACTTTCCTCATAAGGGCATTACTTCTCCCATGCTTCTGGTCACCTGTACTGCTCCTCCAGTAGAGAACCCCAGGCAGTAAGCTTTTCAAAGGTGAAGGCTGAGGGTGTAAAGGCTGATCTCCCTCAGTGTCTGGGGGTGGGAGAGGCATCCCTCGTGTCTTTGAGTCCTGGGCATGAGCAGCTTTTGTGCACCTGAACACCCAGGTCATGGTGCCCATGGTCCATGGTATCGGCGCTGACCCTCCTGTCTGTGCCCCCCAGGATGCTGCCCATTACAGACTCCCTGCTGCGCCTGCTGGGCCTGGAGAAGACGACATTCCGCCTGTATGCCGTGTCCATGATCTTCCTCTTCCTGCTCTTCTTCCTCTTCCGTCTCCTGCTACGTTTCCTGCAGCTCTGCCGGCATTTCTACACCATCTGTCGCCGCCTGCGCTGCTTTCCCCAGCCTCCGAGGCGTAACTGGCTGCTGGGCCACTTGGGCATGGTGAGTGGGGGCAGGTCCCAGGACCCAGAGAGGATGGTGAGCATCCAGGAGGCATCCTGAAGGAACCACAGCTAAAAACTCTGCTTCTGGAGCCATGAGTAGACTGGTTTTAGAGAGGATGAGACAGGCTCAGAGAGGGAGAGCAATTTATTTAAGGTCACACAGCTGGAAGGAGCCAGCACTGACTCGGAAAAGTTCTGTTGGTAATTCCAGACCATCACTGGACGAGTGAAGCTTGGAATCTGTGATCCTCTGTCGTCTTTGCCACTGTTTTCCTTCCTTGCATCATGGCTCTAGTCTTCTCCCTTTAGGCCATGGTCCCAGGTCAGACCACACCTATAGCACCTTTTATGTACCAAGTAGGGACGGTGGTGGTTCTATGGTAGAATTAGCTTACTTTCCATGAGATCTAGGTTTCATTTCTAGTCAGTGTGACTGAGACACAGACGCTACCCATCTGCCAGTAGAGGCTTCTGTGTTACTAGATGTTGAACTAGAGGTTTCAGGGAGCTTCAAGGCTAAGGTGGACTAGGAAGTAAGGCTTGGAGATTGACTTCTGAAAATGAGTCAGGGAAAACCCTAGGATCATGGTGACTGATCTGAAACCAACTTTGAGGATGGTTCAAGACGGGACGATATTTCATTTTGGTTTGTGTGGGTTTACCATGGATTGAGGGCTGACTCAACGGCAGTACTAATACAAGTTGCTGTTGTTGATTGCTGTCAAGTTGAGCACGACTCGTAGCAACTCTATGAACAAAAGGCCTAAGGACTTTCTATAACTATTGTCATTTATCAAAGTTCAGAGTTTCCAGAGACCATGTTGTTTAGGAAGTGGATGCCACTCCTGCTTCCCAAGTATTATTTTAGGTGCTTTGCAAATCCCAACTCATCCAGCCGTAATGCCCCTGCCCTTCGCCCCTGTGCTCTGTGAGGTAGAAGAGCTTCGGGCTCAAAATGAGTGGATCTGGGTTCAGATCGAGCCTCAACAGCTGGGTGAACTTGAGGCAGTCACTTAACCTTTCTGAGCTCCAAAGGTTCAATTTATAATGGGGGAAGAATTTATCCCTAGTTCACAGGCTAAGAAAGAGAGAGAATTAGAGGAGAGTAATGAGGAAGGTGCTTATCTCAGTGCTCAGCTACTAAATAGGGCCAGCATTTATTGAATCAATGAGTGAATGAAAAAAAGAAAAAAAAGAGTAAATGAATGAACTGGCTCCTGTGTATACTTTCCTGTCAGGCTCAGCTCTGAGCTTGTCTGCCTTCAAGGAGAAGGTAGCCTTGCTTACGTCTCATGATGCCACGGGGGTGGGCTCGGCCTATGAGATCAAAATTGAGCTTCAGAACCTTTTAAGGTCTGACTGTTGCCTTTGGCCCAACCATCACAGCCACAGAGAGCTTCCTTGAAGCTTCCTTGAAGCTTGGGCATTGGTGATGGGACATGAAATTCTTGTAACAGAGGCTACCTCAGAAAGAGTGCATACTGTCAGCAGGGGCCGTGGAAGTGGGAAGTCTTGTTATGGGATTAGGAAGTCTTTCCAAGGGACTAGAGGGACATGGTGGGATAAGCGAGGGGTTAGAGGTTGGAGTCTAAAGGGGCTAAAAGGCCAGGCTACGGAACCAGGACTTTCTCTCAATGGCAGTGGGGAGCCATGGAAGGTGTGAGAGGAAGGAAGGGACATGGTCTGATTCAGGAAGTCCTCTGGGACCAAGATGAAAAGTTGAGACTGGAGGCGGATACAGAAGGAGGGGCCTGAACCATGGTTCAGCAAGTGGTGGTTGAGGCCTGAGCTCATGGAGGGGATGAAAGAGAGGGAGAAGATTAATGTACAAACTTGGTAAGTGATGGGCCTGCGGGAAGAGTTACCCTCACTGCCCTTCTCTCCCTCCACAGTATCTCCCAAATGAGGGAGGCCTCCGAGACGAGACAAAGGTGCTACACAAGATGCACCATGCGCTTCTGGTGTGGATTGGACCTGTGCTGCCGCTGGTGGTGTTGGTGCATCCCGACTATATTAAGCCTCTCTTGGGGGCCTCAGGTAGGTTGGTTAGGTCCCTGAGCCATGTGTGAGCCCTCAACTCCCAGCGTCCAGGGGATTTCCATGCAGAGTGAGAGGAAGGGCCTTTTGAACAGGGCTTTGAAGTATGCATAGGAGTTCATTTAAGCAGGGATGGCCATCTAGATTTTTGGAACAGCATAAACAAAAACGTGACAATGTCCAAGAGTTTTAGGAATTTTGGGAGGATGCTCATCGTCCTTGAAGTCAGAGCCAAGCGTGTCTGAGTAGATAATTGTTTCTTTTAAATGCATTTTACTCAATCCCAAGCCATGACACTTCACCTCCAGGGCTGTGATGCTGCCATTGTAACCTGGGTCTTGGAAGCCCAGCCCACACCCTTCTTTCATCAACTGGTCTGACTCTGTGTGGTGGAGAAGGTGGTGTGGAAGGAAAGCTTCTCCCATCTACAACCCACACCCAATTCATTATTTACTTAGAAAGCTCAGCCCTTAACCTCCAGCTCCAGGCTCCCCAGTATTCCATGACTCTCTAGACAGTCCGTCACTCCCTACTTGTGAGTTTTTCCATTCTTAGACCTAACCCTGTAGGTCTAGGTGTGCCTATTTTTGACTTTGCCTCCTTGGTGGTGGGGTTCAGTGTGGCAGACCAGGTGACTGCACAGCCTAATGGGCTTGGGGAATGTTTAAGACAGGAGAGATGGGAAAGGCAGAGCTTCAGGAATTGTAGGATCTCTGGTCCCTGCTTGGAGCTCTACAAACACAAGCCCGGATGCTCACAGGGAGGAAGCTGCTGCTGTCCTGCCCTTCCCAGCTATGTCTTCACTCCACCACGCTGTGTCCCATTATTGTAGTTAGAAGGGAGGACTGTCCCCAGTGAGTAAAGGGGGGAAGTGACTCTCCCACGAGATGGGTCTTAAGTCGGGAGAGGAACCCCAGGCAGGCCTTAGGTGGATGGACTTAAATGCTGGCTTCAGTTTGTGCTCGTTGTGTGACTTCAGCAAGTCATCTAAGCTCTCAGAGCCTCGGTTTCTGACCCGGAAAGTGCACTCAACAGCACAATGTAGAAACACTAGTAAGTGTTTCTCCTTCTCTGCCTTATTTAGAGAGCTCCAAAAGCTAAAAAAGCAAACTCACTGCTATTGAGTCAGTTTAGATGCAGTGAGTCTATAGGACCAAGTAAAACTGCCCGTTTTCCCAAGACTGTAAATCTTTTCAACAGAAGACTGTCAAACCTTTCTCCTGAGGGGCAGCTGGTGGGTTTGAATCATAGACCTTTTGGTTAGCAGCTAAATGCTTTAAACTTTGCAACCCCTAGAGCTTCATTTTGGAGCTCCTAAGTGATATGAATGGTTGATGTTAACCAGAAGGTTGGAGGTTCGAGTCTACCTAGAGGCAACGTGGAATATCTACTTCTGAAACATCAGCTATTGACAACCTTATGGGGCATTAGGGAGCTCTGGTGGCCTAGTGGTAAGAAGCTGCGCTGCAATCCCAAAGGCATGCAGTTCAAATCCACCAGCTGCTCCGGGTGGGCTATTTCCTCCTGTGTGATTTACTGCCTCTGAAAACCCACTGAAGGGAGAGTCAGTTATGAGTCAGTTCTGACTCGACCACATCCAACAACATCATGGAACGTAATTCTCCTCTGACATACATGGTGTGACCATGGTCTGGAATCAACTCGATGCCAGCTGGTTTACCTACTTGATTCTGTCTTTTCTCTGCCATCACCTTCAAGTTTTCCATTTTGCACAGTGTGGGACTCCATGGAGACAGACAGGAAGGAGAGCCTCATTGTCGGCCTGGTGCCAGGAGACATTGGCTTCCTTCTTCCCCTTCCGTCTCCCCAGACAGACAGGATATTCATCACGTTTCTCTCCTGGGGGAGCAGGATGGAGAAATCCAAGTAGGGAGGGTGGGGCTGTGAGTCAGGACAAGCACGCTGTGGTGGGGCGTCCTGGCTGTAGGCACCCTGTCCCACCCACTCTCAGGTCGGCTTCCTTAGTCCCCCCCTGCTGCTGTAACAGAAATAACTACAAGTGAGTGGCATTAAAGAACAGATACTAATTGTCCTTTTACAGTTTAGGAAGTAAATGTCTCCAGGGGGTCAGCTCTAGAGGAAGGCTCTCTTTCTGCTGTCTTGAAGGGACCATCCTTGTCTCAGCCTCTCTAACCAGGCAGCTGTGGAGTTCCGAGGCTTGTAGACTTCTCTGTCCTCTGTCTCCGTCATCTTTGGATGATGCCTGTCACCGGTGTCTACTTTCTTTTTTGCCTGATGTCCTTGGGTGTTACAAATGACCAAGTGCTTGGCTGCGGGCCTAAAAGCCTGGTGGTGTGAAGCCACGCAGAAACACCTTAAAAGTAGCTCAGTGAAAGAGAGGACGACCCTCAAGGGAAAGGGCAGGCGCAGCGACTCCAACGTGGACTTACACAGGACTGTGAGGATGGCGCAGGAGAGGGCGAGGTTGCGAGCTGTGGGGCACAGCGTGGTGAGTGAGGAGTCATAGTTGACTCCGTGCCTCCTGACAACCACCACCAAACAGAGGCACGTTGGAAGAGAGCCCTGGCAATCTGCTTCTGAACGGCCACGGGGTTTATGGAACACAGGTTTTCTCTGCATACGTGCGGAGCTGGCTCCACGGTACCTAACACCAGTGTGCTTCCTTGTGTCTCATAACTGATTGGTTTAAGATACTCCCCATCCCTTTGTGGCCTCTTCAGCATAACAAAGGCAACGCTGTTCCCATATGAGGTTACATCGCAGGTATGTTGTTGTCTTGATTGTGATTTATAGAGCTGCGGTTGGTGGGGCGTTGCACTGCCAACCCAAAGGTTGGCACCCGTCAGGCAGTTGGAATCCATCAGCAGCTCTGAAAGAGAAAGATGGGCAGTCAGTCTCCTTCTATGTGAGTTACAGTCTCTGAAAACCCACTGGAGGCTCAGCTATGGGTCACTTCCGACTCCTTGGCAGTGCATTTGAGTTTTCTGTAGATGAATGGACACAGTGGCTCCAACAATGGGCTCAAACATGGTAAGGATTGGAAGGATGGCACAGGGCTGGGCAGCACTGAGTTGCTATGAATGGGAACTGACTTGATGGTCCCTAACCATGCTCTGATGGCTTAGTGGTAAGGAGTTGCACTGCCATAAAAAGGGCACGTGGTTCAAATCCACCAGCTCCTCTGTGGGAGAAGGCTGGACAGTCCCCTCTCAAGCAATTAGAGTGCTCTGTGGGGTTTTCAATGGCTGTGAGCTTTCAGGAGCCCTTCTTCCAAGGTGCCTGTGGTGGGTTCAAACTACCAGCCTTTCCGTTAGTAGCCAAGCACTAAAATAATTTATGCAACTGAGGGTTTTGCTGCTGCATAGTAGGTGCTCACTGAATATTTGGACACTTAATTTAAGAATTGATCAACTGTTGGTTATGGTTATTACTATAATCCTTACTGATTTAAATCATTGTGTTGGAAAAAATATCATTGTGGTGATGTTATTGTTAGGTCCTATTGACTTGAGTACAACCCATAGCAACTGTGTGAATACCCAATTTGAATACCCAATTACCTGGGTTTTGTTTTTTAATTGTCATGTGCTAGGCACACATTAGCTGATTGAATCCTTACGGGGATGCATTATAGGGTGAGACAAGGTTGTTATATCTCCCTCTGGCAGTAGGGAAATGAAAGGGCAGAGTGGTAATGTGCCCAAGTTACCCAATTAATTAGTGGAAACACTGGGATTTGAAATGAGATCTGCTGCCTCTGCATGCAATCTTTCAACTATAATGATACACAACTTCCCATGGAATAATTTCTTCAGACTGGATGGCGTGGGATCTTATCTTACAGAGTCTCTTTCAAGGAAGATGTTACTGCCCTCTTTTTACTGAAGAGGACATTGTTGGAGGTGACAGCCTGGACAGAGATTTCTACATTGAGTGGTCAGGGCTGAAGTGGAGGAAGGCTGTGGGGATGGGAACTTGGTTAAAATGGGCTTCAAGGGATGCATAGGAGTTTTCCAGATGAGGAGTTCCAGGTGGAGGGTTCTGTTAGTGCAAAGGCACAGACATGTGAAAACACTTGGAGCATCAGGTGACCTGGGTGATTGGAAGGTCCATGGGTAGGGCAAATGGCTTTTGCTCTACTTCTAATGCAAAAGTTCATGGTTCAAATCCACCTAGGGAAGCCATAGTGTCTAGTGAACTGTTATATGAAGATTGCAATCAAGAAAGCGCTATGGAACAGTTCTAATCTGTAACACTTAAGGTTACCATGAGTTGGCATCAAGGGCAATGAAAAAAAATTAACCTGTGGTAATAGAGAGCCTAAGAGATGTGTGAGAAGCACAGCCATTGGCTAGCTCTGTATCTCAGAAGGAACTTCAAAGGACCAAGGCTGTAGTGCAGAGTCCAGAAAGGAGAGGAGTGATGTCCTTTCTGTGCTGCTTCTTCCAAGAAGCCTGCCCTGACTTTGAGCAGTCCTTTTCCTGTGCTTCCCTGAACAGCCGGCACACTTTCTACCTTCTTGGTAATTGCACAGCACATGTACGCTTCCCTTTCCCACCCACTGGGAGCTCCTCCAGGGCAGGGCCTGGAAATGTGTAATCTGGGAGCCCAGCATTACCCATCAGGGGTTGGGTTCAGAAAGGCAGCAGAAGAGGTATGTTGAATGGGACAAGGAGTGGCCATATGACAGAGCACAGTTGGCCAATTCCTGGGTGTATATGTAGGCAGCTGAGTAATATCAAAGGGAAAAGCAACATCACTTGAGTTTCAGGTATTTCCTCCCTAGGCCTCTGCCCACTCTGCCCTAAATTTGTTCAATGCATAAAAGGGGAATTCACTCAACCATGCAAACCTCCTTCCATCCCTCCATCCCTCCATCTTTCCATCCCTCTCCATCCATCCATCCATCCATCCATCCATCCATCCATCCATCCATCCATCCATCTCTCTCCATCCATCTCTCCCTTCATCTCTCCATCCACCCATTACCTATTCATCCCTCATTCATCAAGGCTTTTCTTCATTTGTCCTTTGATTCATTGAATAAACATTCATTCACTATCTTGTTAGCACCAATAGAAGTGATCAGTGTGGTCTCTGCCCCCAAGGAGAATGAGTGGATTTACTCTGGAATGATTTTGGGTGGAGAGGGAAACACCTAAGCCAAGATCAGAAAGGGGAGGGAAGAATGTTTGAAGCAACGAAATCAGTTGATGGAAGAAGTGGGAACAGAGAGTGAACATGGCTTTTTCCAGGAGCTGGGAAAAGTTTTGTGATGTTATAATGTCAAGAGATGTCTCAAGAAGAGCTGAACAGGGGGAGATCATCAAGGGCTTTGAGAAATGGGCCAAGATTCTAGCTCTTGATGGTAAGGGAGAGCAATGGAGGGTGTGCGAGCAGGAAGGGACATGGTCAGACATGAAAGTCAGATGAGATCCCTCCAGGCCAGCATGAGAGACAGTCCAGAGAGGATGAGGCTGGTGGCTGAGAGCACAGGACAAGCTGTTCAGATGAGCTGGCAGAAAAGAAAGAGATGGGTGGATTAAGGGAAAACACGGGTGAGGAGGTCCATTCCAGGTCAAGAGCATAACCTGGGAAAAAGTTTGGAGACGAGAGAGAGAGTGCACATAATGAAAATGGGATTATTTCCATTCTCACTGAACGATTTGGGAAGGCAGACAGGGACTGGATGATGCAGATGCTTTAATATTAGGCTGAGTTTGAACTTTTTTGCAAAGGTAATGGGGATCCATCTTTGAGAAGGGGAAGTTAATGATTAGATAATCATGTTAGGAGGCTCTTTCTGGGGCAGGTGTAGGCTGGAGGGACGTTGGAGTGGGGGGTAATGTCTCAGAGAGGAGGCCATAGGAGGTCATAAGTAGAGGGCTAGACTCTTGGCTCATGAGATCATTGTCTCCTTCCTCTTTACAGCGGCCGTTGCACCCAAAGATGACCTTTTCTATGGCTTCCTTAAACCATGGCTGGGTGAGTGAGGACTGGGTGGGCTGGAGCGTCAGAGATGAGGGGGCAGACGTGGAGTTCCTTGAAGGGCTTCAGAGGCTACAGGGGATGACCCTGACCTTAGTACTCTGGGTCCAGGAGATGGGCTACTGCTCAGCAAAGGTGACAAGTGGAATCGCCACCGCCGTCTACTGACACCTGCCTTCCACTTTGACATCCTGAAGCCCTACATGAAGATCTTCAACCAGTGCACGGACATCATGCATGTGAGCTCTGGCTCTTTTGGGGTCGGGGAGGCCAAGGGGTGAGACTGGACCATCACTGATGTGATACTAGGGAGCTGGGCTTCCTTTTTTAAAAAAATTATTAATTTTAATGAAAGTTTACAGAGACCTAGGGTTTCCAGTCATTCATTGTTGTACTTTTCTCCCTGACTACCCCCTTGCCCCCACTTCACTCTTCTCCTTGAAAAGGAAAAGAAAAACTCTTTTATTGTTATGCAATCCCTCCCCCCAAGTCCACGCCACTGTGCAGCCTTCATTCTGGACTCCTGTCATGACAATAATAATCATATATCCCTTCTAAACAGTTCTCTCCCTCATGTGTTTCAATGCAGCATACATCATTCCTCCCCTCCTTCACTGTCTTCCCTCAACCCCAATGTCAGTCCTGTTTTACAAATAGTGGCCCTACGCAATATTTGTTCTTTTGTGACTGAGATATTTCACTCAACATAATGTCCTCCAGGGTTACCCATTTTGTATATTTCATGAGTTCCTTGTTTTTCAGTGCTGCATAGTATTCCATTGTGTGAATATACCAGGGCTTCTCTATCCATTTGTTTGTTGATGGGCACTTGGGTTGTTTCCAGCTCTTTACTGTTGCAAAAAAAGCCACAATAAACATGGGTGTACATGGGCTTCCTATCTTTAAAGAGAGTTTGTTTTGAGGGCGGTGCAGGATTATTGCCAACAGGGCTCACAGTCAAGGCTCTCTCTCTTCCAGGCCAAATGGCGGTGCCAGGCAGAGGGCAAAGTGATTTCCCTTGACATGTTCAAACATGTCAGCCTCATGACGTTGGATAGCCTCCAGAAATGTGTCTTCAGCTACAACAGCAACTGCCAAGAGTGAGTGTGACTTCCTTCAGGAAGATGTAGGCAGCTGCCCTGGGACAAGGGGCAGGAGGAGGAAGAAAATTCCTTAGTGTTTCTTAACCTCCAGCTGCTGGTGTTCCAGCTCTACCACTTACAGGATGACACCACCTCTTCATGTCTCAATTTCCTTATCTGAGAAATGGGCATCATTATGTCTAGAGAGATTACAGAAGAGCTAAATGCCATATTACGTGCTAGGCACATAACAGGTGCCCAGTAAATGCAAGTGTACTTTATTCCTCCATAAAGAGGATGTGACCTTTGCAAAGTATCTGGCCACTCTCATGAGCTTCAATTTATTTTTAAAAAATGGACATTATCATAGGGTCTGTATGAGTCATGTTTGACTTGAAGGCAATCAACACCACCACCACCACCACCACCATAATTTCCTCATCATAGAACTCATGGGAAGATGAAACAGAAATTAAATAAACATGTACGTAGTAGGAGCTCAGTAAATGCAAGTGGCCCTTATTCCCTGCACAAAGGTGTGGTCTTTGGAAGATACTCCCATCTCAACTTTCTGAGCGTCACTTTCCTTATCAAAATATAAGCATCTCCATTCCATCCCCAAAGAGGTCATGTTGTTATTAGCTGTTATTAAGTTGGCTGAACTTGGCTCTATCTTGCGCCATCCTCATGCTCAAGCCCATTGTTCTAGGTCCTGTGTCAGTCCTTTTTGTTGAGGGTCTTCTTTCTTTCTCTGGTACTCTACCTTTCCCATCGTGATATCTTTTCAAAGAACTCTCCCCTCCTAACAATATACCCAAGGTATATGAGACAACATCTTACCATCCTTGCTTCTAAGGAGCACCATGGCTACATGCTCTCTGAGAGATTACTTTGTCGTTGTTATGTGCTGTCAAATCAGAACAAACTCATAGCTGACTCTCCGTCAGGTTTTAAGAGGCTGGAAATTGCACAGGCGGAGGTTGTCCATCTCTCTCCTGTGGAGTTGCCAGTATATTTGAATCGCCTGGCTTCGAGTGGCCAGCACAATTCCTTACCCACTAGACCACCAGAGCTCTGTAGAGATTGTTGTTATTGTGTGCTGTTGAGTCAGAACCGATCCATAGCTGACCCTCCAGTGGGTTCTCAGAGACAGCAAATCTCATGGATTGAGATTATTCATCCTTTGCCCTCGGAGAAGCAGGTGGATTCAAATCTCATGCTTTTGGGATTGCAGTGTAGTTTCTAACCAGTAGGCCACCATTCACAGAGATGATAAGAAAATTAAAAGAGAGGAGCACATAGCAAGAAGAAGGTAATCGCTTCTCAGCTTTTGTGCTAAGATCAAGTATAGTAAACACTTGGTAAATGCAACTTTCCTCTCATTCTTCCAGAAACATAATGTGACCTTTGGAAAAATGCCTCCCACCATCCACCTCCAACTTAAATGAGCATTGGCATTCTTTCCCTTAGAGATCACAGGAGAATGAAACAAGATAGCAATGGTTTTGCATATAGTAGGTGTTCGGTAAATGCATGTTTCCTTCCATCTTCCAGGAAGAAATTGTGGTATTTGGAAAGTGTTCTTCATCCTCCCACCCCATCACAGAATCTCTATTTCCTTGTCAAACAAGAATAATGATCTCGGACTCCCAGAGTTGCTTTGAGGACAACATGATCTAGCGTTGTTCCAATCCATATAAAGTTCAGGAGTTTGTTGAGTGAATGAATTCAATAGCCATTATTATTTTGATTAATTTCTTTATCATGAGGTATTAATTGTGTACTGTATGCCAGGTACTGTGGCAAATATTATGGGAAGCAGTAGATTAAGTGCCAGTCTAATGGCCCTTACAGTCTAAAAGGTGATGTAAGAAAGAAGGAAAAGGATGTTAAGTGTGTAGCTCATAGTAGATTATCAGTAATAACAAGCTGATGTTGTTTCTCTAGCCCTTGTAGGGCACATTTCATTTGGGTAAGGCAGAAATAGGGAGCTCTGGTGGCCTAGTGGTGAGAAGCTGTGCTGCACTCTCAAAGGCACGTGGTTCGAGACCAGCCAGCTGCTCCATGGGAGAAGGATGGGCACTCTCCTCCTGTGTGATTAACTGCCTCTGAAAACCCACAGAAAGGTCATCTATGGGTCGGTTCTGACTCTACAGTACACAACAACAAGGCAGAAAGGCCTTCAGTCAGTAATTAATTCACTTATCTATGCATCAAGGAACTGTTTACTGAGTGCCTATATTATCTGCCACCTGTTTGGATGATGGGGTGGGGGTGGGGAAAGCTGAGTTTCGCCAGCCCCTGCTCCTCTTCCTGGCTCCCCTGAACTTCTCTCTCATGCTGCATTCAGACTCCCAGCCTTGCCCAAGAACTCCAGTCACCACCTTGTTCCGTGCGCGTACTCCTGGGACAGGCTACCTGTTTGGATGGTGGGGGAAGCTGAGTTCTCCCAGCTCCCGCTCCTCTTCCTGGAGTGTGGAAATTATCGAACAATATCATTAATATTACATGCGAACAAGATTCTGCTGAAGATTATTTAAAAAAAACAACAACTGGAATAGCACATCAACAGAGAACTACCAGAAGTGCAGGCTGGGTTTAGATGGGGTCGTGGTATTAGGAATATTGTAGTTAATGTTAGATGGATCTTGGCTGAAAGCAAGGAGTAACAGAAGACTGTCTATCTTTGTCTCATTGATTATGCAAAGGCATTTGACTGTGTGGATCATAACAAACTGTGGCTGACTCTGAGAAGAATGGGAATCCCAGAACACTTGATCGTGCTAATGTGAAACCTATACTTGGACCAAGAAGCAGTCGTCAGAACAGAGCAGGGAAACACTGCATGGTTCAAAATTGGGAAGGCCTGTATCCTGTCTCCATAAATTTTCAAACTTTATGCAGAACAGATTATCCAGGAGGCTGGGCTCTATGAGGAGATATGTGGCATCAGGATTGGAGGAAGAATCATCAACAATCTGCGTTATGCAGATGATACAACCCTGCTTGCTGAAACTGAGGAGGACCTGAAGCACTTGCTGTGGAAGGTCATGGACTGCAGTCTTCAATATGGATTGAGGCTCAACATCAAGAAAACAAAGATTCTCACCACTGGGTCGATTGGTGGCATCATAATGAGTGGTGAAGAGATTGAGATTGTTCACAGTTGTTGCTTGGCTCCACAGTCAACACACTTGGCACCAGCAGCTAGGAAATGAAAAGATGTATTGCTATGGGAAAGTCTGTGGTTAGATTCCTCTCTTAAGTATTGAAGTGCAACAGTGTCAGTCTGGAGACTAAGATGTGCCTGATACATACCATGGTCTTTGCAATCACTTGCTATGCATCAGAGAGCTGGACAATGACTAGGGATAATAGATGGAGAATTGATGCCTTTGAGCTATGGTATTGGAGAAGAGTATTGAGTATATCATGGACTGCTAAGAAAATGCAAAGGTTTCTCCTGGAGACGGTGAAGCCACGCTGCTCCTTGGAGGCAAGAATTCTGCAGCTTCATTTAACATACTTTGGACCAGACCTTGAAGAGGGACGTCATGCTTGGGAGGGTGGAGGGACAACGCAGGAGAGGAAGACCCTTGATGAGATGGATTGTTTCAGTGACTGGGGAAATGGGAGTAAGTTTGTGGGAGGTAGTGAGGTCAGCACAGGATAGGTCAGAGTTTAGGGCTGTCGTACATAGGGTTGCTATGAGTGGCAGATGACTCGACGGCACATAACGATGACAACAACAACAACAACAACAACAACAACAACAACAACATATTCTCTGCTAGATAATTGATTTAGGTTCTAGGAATACAATGATCAAGTCTTACCTTTCTGGAACTTACTGTTTTTCTGGAAGATAGATAGTAACCTCAAACAAATAAGTAGACAAAAACCCAACAGATATAGAGAAAGCAGCAAGCATGCTCCAGGACCAAGGACAGAGCACCAAACTCCACCTCCAGCAGTGTGTTGTTTTGTTCTTTAAACAGCTGTATAGAGATAGAATTCACATCCCATACAACCTAACTGTTGCTAGTATATTTTCATTATATTCACAGAAGTGTGCAAACATTATCACAATTAATTTTAGAATTTTTTATCATTTCCAAGAGAAGCCTGTGTCCTCTAGCAATTCCTTCTCTCTACCCTCAACCAAAAACCCTGCAGAGGTTCAAGGACTGCAGCCTTCAGTATGGATTGAGGCTCAATATCAATAAGACAAATATTCTCACCACTGGACTAATTGGCAGCCTCAGGATGGATGGTGAAGAGATTGAGATTGTTCACAGCTTTATTCTGCTTGGTTCCATGGTCAACACTCTTGGCACCAGTAGCCAGGAAATTAAAAGACGTATTGCAATGGGAAAGTCTGCTGTTAGGGACCTCTCCAAAGTACTGAAGAGCAACGGTGTCACTCTGGAGACTAAAGTGCGTCTGATACAGGCCATGGTCTTTGCACTCACTTGTTATGCATCAGATAGTTGGACAATGACTAGGAACAATAGAGGGAGAATTGATGCCTTTGAGCTGTGGTGCTGGAGAAGAGTATTGAATGTACCATGGACTGCCAAGAAAACAAACAGATTCAACCTGGAGAGGGTTAAACCAGGCTGCTCCTTGGAGGCAAGGGTTCTGGAGCTTTGTCTGACATACTTTGGACATGTTGTAAGTAGGGACTGGTCCTTGGAGAGGGACATCATGTTTGGGAGCGTGGAGGGATGGTGCAAGAAGGGAAGACCCTCTATGAGGTGGATCGATTCAGTGACTGGGGTAATCAGGATGGGAGTGTCAGAGACAGTGCGATTGGCACAGGATAGGGCAGGGTTTAGGACGGTTGTACATAGGGTCGCTATGAGTCACAAGTGACTCGACAGCACATAACAACAACAAGCCTCAGCCAGTATCTCGGTTGCTCACTCGATACTGTCAAGTCAATAGTGACACTCCATTGGCTTTCTGAGATTGTAAATCTTAATGGGAGGAGACTCTCTTTCTCCATTGGGGCACCTGTTGGATAATTGACCTTTTAAGTTAGTGGCCCAACATACTATGGACTACTCTAGTGGAACTCCTCATCCCTAGGTACCCATTAAGCTGCCTATTCCTGACATTTCATTTAAATGTCATTGCTGTTAGATGCCATTGAGCTGATGATGACTCATAGCTGTACTTGAACAACAGATCTGAACTTTAACTTGCATCATCCTTACAATCTTCTTTATGCTCCAGCCCATTGTGTCAATACATATCATTAAGGATCTTCCCCTTTCACTCACCCTCTACATTTTCTAGTATGATATCTTTTCAAAGGACTGACCCCTTGTGACAATGTGCTCAAAGTAAGAAAGATGAACTTCACCATCCTTGCTTCTAGGGATCACCCTGGCTGCACTTCCACCAAGATTTGTTTGTTCTTTTGGCAGTCCACGAGATATTCAATATGCTTAGCCAATACTATAATTCAAAGGCATCAACTCTTCTGTCTTCCTTTAGACATTGTCCAACTTCTATATGCATATGAAGCAAATGATAATAGTATGGTCTGCAACAGGTGCATCTTGACCTTTAAAAGATGTCATTGTTCTTCAGGACTTTAAGAGGTCCTTAAGAGCAGACTTTCCCCTATGCAACATATCTTTGCATTTCTTGACTGTTGTTTTCATGAGTTGATTGTGAATCCAAGAAAAATGAAATCATTGACAATTCAGTCCTTTCTTCCTTCTCAGTTCATCTATCATTATGGTGCCTTTTGGCCCACTGGTGAGGAGTTCTTTATAAATTCTAATTCCTTACTGGTGGCCTAGTGGTAAGAAGCTGCGTTGAAATCCCAAAGACACTTGTTTAGAATCCACCAGCTCCTCTGTGGAAGACGAATGGGCAATCTCCTTCCGTGCAATTAACTGCCTCTAAAAACCCGCTGGAGGGTCAGCTATGGGTTGGTTCTAACTTGATGGCATATGACAACAACAACAACAACAATAACAATCGATCCTTATTAGATTTATGGTTTTCAAATAGAGCAAAACCTGTGAAAGCAGGAACCTGTGTAAGACAGCCTGTTAGAGAAGGAAAATGAAAACGTTTTCCAGTACTGAAAATTGGAAGAAAAGTAGTAAGACTGCACCCTGTCAAAGGAAAATTTGTGGACCCCAGAGAAAGGTGACAGTTCTGTTAAGTTCTAGATCTCACAGGTTCCCCTTCTCATTCAGCAGGTTGTAAAGTAATTAACTTTACAATTAGTAAAACAATTTATCTTTACTCCTGTTGTCTACACTGGAAGGCCCTTTCTCATTCTGAGTCTGTCTTTGTTATCTCCCTAATGGGAACAGGTGACTTTGCCACAGCATGCCTGGGTTGGGGCCAGTTGATGGACCAATGCTCATGGCTCCTTCTTTTTCTTGATAGGAAGATGAGTGATTATATCTCAGCCATCATTGAGCTGAGTGCCCTGGTGGTTCGGCGCCAATATCGTCTGCACCATCACCTCGACTTCATCTATTATCGCACGGCAGATGGGCGGCGTTTCCGGCAGGCCTGTGACACTGTGCACCAATTCACGGACGACGTCATCCGGGAGCGGCGACAGGCACTGCACAAGCAGGGGGCTGATGCCTGGCTGAAGGCCAAGCAGGGCAAGACCTTGGACTTCATCGATGTGCTGCTCCTGGCCAAGGTGAGGCTGGGCCCTAGAGGGTGGAGCCCTACCCAGGCCAACCTTTCCTAGAATTCGACAGGGATTGTAGAAACGGTTCAAGGTTAAGGTTAGCATAGCTCTAAGGAAGAGTCAGATGCAGAACCTGTAAGACTGACAAAGATGAAATCCAACACTCTGAAGAAAGGGGATACATGAAGAGATATATCTGTTGCCTTGAGTTGACAAATACCAATCCCATGTGTGTCACAGTAGAACTGTGTTCTTCAGGTTTTTTTATTTTTTACAAAGTGGTGTTGAAAAAAAATTATATATTGAACAAAAGTTGCCACAGGTATTTTGACATGTATAGTTCAGTGATATTGAAGATCTTAATGTTGTGCTATCATGGTTATTGTCCTTTTTCAGATTCTCTGTCACCATTGATATGTCCCTAAGCAAGCTCTCCTTTCCCCTCCATCCCGCCCCTTGTAACTTCTACTGATCTTCAGTTTCAATATATATGCTTTTTTCATATACTCATACAACTCCTTCCTGTCAAGTCTGAACTAACTCATAGCTGATCCCTACTGATTGTCTGAGATTGCCCATCTTTTCTTCTGTGGATTTTAACCACCTCAGAGGGGTGGCCCATTGAGTTAGCATTGAAACGCCTTATGGAATATACCACCAGAGCCCCCATATTTCAAATAAATGGGAATACAGTATTTTATTCTTTTGTTCCTGACTTGTGTCATGCAGCATGATGTTTTCAAGGTTCATCCAGGTTGAGGCATGTCCCACCGAGTTTTGTATGGCTGAATTTTTGGAAGTAGATTTTCAGATCTTTTCCTCCACGTAATGCTGGGTGGAATCAAACTTCTAACTCTTTGATTAGCATTTGAGTATGTTAACCATTTGCACCACCCAGAGAGAGTTCCCTGTTAGTGGTGCTTCTGTGGACTGGTGGAGTAGCACTTGGACTTGAGTAGTCATGGATCCCAGTCTGATTTTGTCACCAAGATTTTGGATCTTGTTTCTGTTATTCTTCTCGGTGGGCTTCACATTTCTCATTTCTCATTTCTAACCTGATGATAGTGAACCTTTCACAGTGTTTCCAGGTACTTAACACGACTCTTGGTATTAGAGCTGCTCAAGAAATGTGAACCCTTCTCTTCCCTCATCTTGTACTTTTCATTCCTTCTTTCAGTCTTTCTTGGACAAGTTGCATCTCCCTATCTTACTGGACTGGTTCCCCCCAAATCTTGCCTGCAGAGAAAGAGGGGCTGTATCTGACTTAGGAGAAGCCCGTAGGATGCAGACGGTGGACTAAGCATCATCTACCTCCTTAAAAAGAGCGCTGCCAGGAGGAGGACAATGGTATTTGACCTCCAGTAACTCCACCAATGAGAAGTGTCCTCTTCAACATCAATAGCACAAAGCCAATTCTTATGGGGTCAGACATACCCCTCTACTCTAACATCTTCTTTATTGAGTTCCAACTTCACCTCTCAGGGCTTTCCATGCTCTGTTTCTAGGTTCACTAACCTGTTATAATGGTCACACAGAACATAAAAGAGCCATGGCTATAGGGTTTATCAAAGGATAATTCAATTAAGAAACAGGATTGAATTCTTCTGTTCAGACAGTTTCTCAGGCAAGCTCATGGACCTTCTCATCTTCAGTCTTCCAGATTTGGGCTAATGTCACAAAGCTCTTTCAACTAAACTCCATTCAGCTCATTGCTGTCAAGTTGGAACCAACTCATAGCTGAGCCTCCAGTGAGTTTTCAGAGACTATAATTCATACAGACGGAGAGTGCCTTTGGGTTGGCAGCAAAGCTCCTTACCCACGAGGGCTCCAAAGCTCTTTCAGCCTGACCACTTATGGCATCTCCCCTCAGCTCTGCAGTAAGCCCGATGAAGGCCTTCTGCTTTAGCTCCGGGGGCAGCAGTTTTAGTTCAGTTCTGCCTCATGTTGGTCTCTGGTTCTCTGCCACCTCTGCTGCTGCTACTCTCATTCTGTCTTCTATAAGAGTCTTTGGCTTCAAAGGAAGCACTACACTCTCAACCACTTTTCTGATGCAGTGAGATTCCAATTTTCTGCCTCTGAACCTGCTCGATTTAAGCCTGGTGGGATGGCAATACTGACCAATCCCATCATTAGTAAACTACATAACTTATTTGCATGCGCCAACCCCAAAGGTGTTATTTACCTCATTCACCATCATTAGTATAGTCTTAGCCACACAGGGAACTCTGGTGGCTTAGTGGTAAGGAATCATGCGGCCAACCCAAAGGTACACAGTTTGAACCCACCAGCTACTCTGAAGAGAACGATGAAAAGTCTCCCATGTGATTTACTGCCTCTGAAAACACACTGGAGGGTCAGCTGTGAGTAAGTTCTGACTTGATGGAATACCACCACCACCACCACCACCACCACCACAACAACAACTTGACATGTCGTGTAAGTCAAATCCAATGACTAGAAAAGTCAATGAGTAAGAAAGGCATATTGAGTAAATCATAGCACAACATAATTTTTCATTTTATTATCCTTCATCTCAGGATGAAGATGGGAAGGAGCTGTCCAATGAGGACATCCGAGCTGAGGCTGACACCTTCATGTTTGAGGGTGAGGAAGTGGGTGGAGGGATGCCTTTGCTTGAAGAGGGTACTTGTACTGTCTCAGGATGGTCTCTATCTTATGCTGCGTCCTCTTGCAGGTCATGACACAACCTCCAGTGGGCTTTCCTGGGTGCTGTTCAACTTGGCAAAACACCCAGAGTACCAGGAGAAGTGCCGGGAGGAGATTCAGGACGTCCTGAAAGGCCGGGAGCTGGATGAGCTGGAATGGTCAGTTGGGGTTGTGGGGCTGATAGAGAAAGGCTGTGTTCTACCATGTATTCAAAACCTTGGACAAGTCACTTCAGCCTTATTTTGGCTTCCAATTCTTCATCTCTAAGAGGAGGATGATAATGCATGTAAAAAGTCCTGAGGCTAAAATCATTGCTCTCAAGTTGATTCATGTGGTACTGGGTGGAACTGTGTCTCCCTAGTGTTTTCTGGACGGAACCATGAACTAAGATTTACAGTTAATCAAATTTGGTGCCATGAACTTCAAACAAAAAAGAATTACTAGGCAAATAATTAGAATAAGAGAGTAAGTAAATAATAGAATAGTAAATAGCAGAATGAGGAAATAATTATTGAGTAACAAAAAAGGTAGACTGTAGAAGAAAGGGTATATTTAAACTGTTGCTGGCAAAAATTATTAATATGTCACTGACTGTCAGAAGAAGAGACAGAAATAAAAAAATGTTCCTTAAAATCAAGAATGGTGGCAAGCTCTGGTGGCCTAGTGGCAAGAAGCTGCACTGCAATCCCAGAGGTATGCAGTTCGAATCCACCAGATGCTCTGCTGGAGAAGGATGGACAATCTCCTCCTGTACCAGTCAGATCCAATTTGACAGTACACACACACACACACACACACACAAATAATAATTAAAAAAACACAAGAAAACAACAAACCTCCAATCCTTAAAAAAAAAAAATCAAGAATGGCAAGGCATCGGCTTTGACATCATCAGAAAAGGCCAATTGCTAGTGAAGGACATAGTGACCATTCCTTGTTACAGAGTCCAACTACTCCAGAGTTTTCTTAGCTATCACTTTTATTAGAAGCAGATCACCAGGCCTTTCTGCTCTAATTCTGGATGGACCAACCAACCTTCCAGTTATTAGTCAATGCTTAAACCTCTGTGCCACCTAGGGTTAAGATTCAATACATATTTGGGGTCAACACAATTCAATCCATAACACTGAGTGTTAGTGAGGTGTGCACAGGGATGATGGATGTTGGAATCCAGCTGAGGTCCTGTGTGTCTTATGGAGCTGAGGTTTAGAATGTGAATTGTGAAAGACCTTGAATTCCAGGTGGAGATACTTGAACTTGCTCTTGAGGGCTAGAAGGTGTTGGAGCAGAGGTTCCTTGCTCAGCAGCTCCTGCACGTGTGTGTGTGTTTTGGGTGCTGATGTTGCCTCAGCCTGGCTCTGAGTCACAGTCCCCTCCTCCCCAGGGATGACCTGACTCAGCTGCCCTTCATCACCATGTGCATCAAGGAGAGTCTACGCCAGTTCCCACCTGTGACCCTCATCTCCCGCCGCTGCACAGAGGATGTCAAACTCCCCGATGGGCGCATCATACCCAAAGGTGAGATGAGGCAGTTCACTACATGCTTGTGGGGTGGTGGGAGGTTGTGTGTGTGTTGGGGGAGGAGATAGAAGTGGATGAGTCAGGGTGGCAAAGAAGGTGTGGTGATGAGGCTGGACTCCGTGAAGGTGGAGGTGGAGTAGGCTAGTTTCACTGAGTTGCTGAGTATCTGCAGGGGATCAAGCCCTGTCCAAGCTTTGGGTACCTCCCAGCCTTGGGGAGAGATAGCAGGCCAGGCACCTCTAGTCAAGGAAAGGCTCAAAGAAGGGATAGGATGTGGAGAACCCCTCCAAGTGAAGTGATGGCTCTATCTGGGGAGAAAGAAAGGAAATGCTTGGAAAGAGTGAGCATGGCAGGGGAGCCTCATAAATTGAAGATGGCAGAGGATGTTTAAAGGTGGATCCTCAGGGATTGTGAGCAATCTTCAATACCAGTTTGAGGCACTTAACCTTGATCTTGAGGCAGTAGGGAGCCAGCAGAGGTGTTGAAGCAGGGCAGGAGCAATGTCAGATCTATGAATAAGGAAGATCCCTACAGGTCAGCATCACAGCCAGGAAGAAGGCAGAAGAAGGCGGGAGGGACCTCAAAGAGGGAGGGATGAGAATCTGGATGAGGAAGTTGAGTTTTTCAGGGGAGAATGGACAAGAAGTGATGGCAGGTACATCACTGGAATGGCCTGGATCACTTTAGCATCTCATCCCATTGCCTCTGTTTCTCCCCACAGGAATCATCTGCCTAGTCAGCATCTACGGGACGCACTACAACCCCTTGGTGTGGCCAGACTCCAGGGTGCGTAAGCTCCACACTTCTCCGCTCCCGACTCCTTCCTCTGTCACAGGGGCAACGGGCCCCATCGAGCCAGGGTTGGTGCTGATTCTGAGCACCTCCACTTGCTTGTTCTCTCTCATTGTTAATCCATAAGGTCAGTAAGTCCCTATCTATTAAGCACTTACTATGTGCCAGCCTCAGAAGGGCAGTGAGTCTGGAGAAATAATTAGGAGTGCTCCTGTCATTCTCAGGGACTGGCAGTGCTGCGTGATTGATAGGATCAAGTTCGCTATTGATAAGTGCAACAAAGAAAAGAAAAACTCAGGAGAGGTCGTGACAAAGAAGAGGAGTTAGAGCTGAGACTGGAAGGGGGTGACAAGCAAAAGGAAGGGCATTCTAAGCACAGGAAATGGCATGTACAAAGGCCCTGAGGTAGGGATGAGCTTGCCATGCCTGAAGGACGAGGCTAGCATGGCCAGATTGCAGTGAGTGTGGGTAGGTAGTGAGTGTGTGAGGAGGAAGGTAGGGGCCAGACCATGCCGACTGCAGCTGGGTGAGGTCTTTGGACTTGATCCTGGGGTCATGGGCTGTTCACTCTCACATAGACTCACGTACTGCTCAGTTTGGGGGTTACCTCTGTCCAGCTGTTTTGGTACAGGACATTTGGGAGGGGACTAGGCTGGGAGGTCTGAGGCAGCCCCCAAATTCACCCTGAGGCTTTCCCTACCACCTAGGTGTACAATCCCTACCGATTTGACCCGGAGAACCCACAGCAACGTTCGCCATTGGCATATGTGCCCTTCTCTGCAGGACCCAGGTAATTCTTGCACCTTCCCTTGCCCCAGTCAGGTGTAGGGGGAACCCTGAGGCACGGGGGTGGGGTGTGGAGGTGGGGGTGGGTTTAATAAAAGCAAAGATATACCCACCAGGAGCACAGAGTACATCCCACCCAGCAGCTCTGGTGCCCATAATGCACTTTCTTTTTTTTATTATTATTATTATTATTAATTTCAATGAAAGTTTAGAGACTTGGATTTCCATTCATTCATTGTTGCACTTTTCTCTCTGCCTGCTCCTCCCCCCAGTACACTCATCTCTTTGAAAGTAAAAGAAAAATTCTTTCATTGTTTTACAATCCCTCCCCCAGGTCCACTCCACTAGGCAGCCTTCGTTCTGGACTCCTGTCATGACAAAAATACCTAATCACATATCCCTTTTAAACAGTTTTCTCCTTCATCTGTTTCAATGCAGTATACATTATTGAACCCATCTTTCTCAGTCTTCCCCAACCCTGAGGTCAGTCCTGTTTTACAACAGTGGCACCATGCAGTATTTGTCCTTTTGTGACTAAGGTATTTCACTCAGCATAATGTCCTCCAGGGTCATCCATTTTGAATAATATTGCATGAGTTCCTTGTTTTTCAATGCAGCGTAGTATTCCATTGTGTGAATATACCACAGCTTCTTTACCCATTCGTTTGTTGATGGGCACTTAGGTTGTTTCCAGCTCCTCATAATGCACTTTCAATGTACTTTTGGCCCTCAAGTCAGAGTCTGCAATAGCAGCATCATATAATGAGCACCTACTGTGTACAAGATCTGAGTTCTGGGCTCGCCTACTCCCTAGTGGCTCTGCCTGCTATAAAACACCCGAGTTCTAGGCCACATTTTTGCAGAGCTCTCATTTTCAGTCTTACCCAGACCAAGATGCGAATGTGAGGCTTTCACGATTTGGAAAGTGAGACCTGAATCGTGGATCTATCTTCTTCCAGGAACTGCATCGGGCAGAGCTTCGCAATGGCTGAGATGCGCGTGGTGGTCGCCCTGACACTGCTACGCTTTCGCCTGACCGTGGATCGAACGCACAGGGTGCGGCGGAAGCCCGAGCTCATCCTGCGCGCAGAGGATGGCATCTGGCTGAACGTAGAACCCCTGCCTCCGCGCGCCTGATCGCTGGCCTCGGCTCTGGAGGACAGGCCCCGCCCACAGAGGCTAGCCCCGCCCACAGATGCTTAGGCCCCGCCCCCGGAGAAATAGACTCCACCTGTGAGCCGCTCGAGGATCCAGGCCACGCCCCCACGGCAAAGCTCCGCCCCTGGGGCCTGACCCTACCTCCTGAGAGCACAGACCACGCCTTTTGAAGAAATCTGGGCTCTTGAAGGTCTAGGCTCTACTTTGGAGAAGCCTGAAGGTTTCTGAAGGAAAGACTCCGCCCCCTGCGGATCTGACCCCACTCACTGCATTACAGTTCCTGTCTTCTGGAGTGAGGGACCTGGATCGGCCCCGCTTCTAGGATCACATGGATTCAGATCCAGTTCCTCTTAAAACACCAGAAGCAAAGGCGTCCCAGGTCCCCGGGCCCACCCATTCTGCAAAGGCAGAACCGAAGCTTGCCATCTGGATTCAAGCCTCACTCTTGTGGACATGGGGCAGGCTTCCAAATTCAGGACTTGGGAGCTGGAATCAGAAGCTAGAGACCTCACCTTCTTCCCTGGGTGGGCTGCCTCCCAGGGCTGTTTGTTTCTGTCATTCTTTTATAAGTCCGTTTCCTCGCAACCCTTTCCTTCCTCCCTTTCTCAAAGGCCTTTTTTCCTGAGTTGTGAGTTTTGTAGAGTAAAAACAAGGGTCGCGTCCAGCCCAACCAGATGACTACCTGGGTTGGAGAGGAGCTCTGAGCCTTTGGGAAGCAGTTGGGAGAAGCTGTTGGGGTAGGAGGTGGGGGAGCTGTTTATCTTTGGATATAAAGTCAGCCATTTGGGGACAGTCCATGCAATCATTTGTTCTGTCAACAGACTACGTGCTGGTCACGTGTCTCCTGGCATGGGGCAAGTTTGCTGATGGGTCTTGTGGGATCTGGGAGGAAAGGACTCCACGTTTGAGTGTGAGCATTTACAAGTATGGCACTGCTATGAAGGAAGGTGGGAGCACTGAATGGGATTAGTTGCTTTTTGAAGGGTAGTATTGGATCAAGCTATTTTTAAATCAGGAGAGTTGGATATGTCTCTAAGATCCCCACTGGAGGTGTCAAAGAGACAGGTCTACAATTGGGAATGGAGTTCTGGGCTGGAGATATTTGTATCGGAGTCCAGTATTTGTTATCACAAACTGCAATCAAATCAGCTCTCTGACCTATGGTGACTCAATGCACAGTAGCACAAAATTGCCCAGGTCCATGGTCAAGGTCATTGATACACTTCATTTGTATTGTGGCTACTCTGTATTTTGGTACTTTCCACTCATTTCCCAGTGTTATATTAGATACCATTCTGTTTGTGATCCATTAGGATTTCATTGGTGAGTATCTAGGTTGCCAGGCCTTTCTTCCAAGTCTGACTTAATCTGGCAGCCCTGCTGAAACCTAACCCACGTGGCAGATATTTGAAGTGTTTTTTCACAGCAACACAGAGCCACCATATTAAAGACAAACTGACAGTATTTAGGTAATTTTTAAAGCTCTGAGACGGAATGGAATGCCCTAGGGATGAGGGGGAGAGATTTAAAGAAGCTCCAGGGTCTCCAAAGACATTGTGACAGAAGAATGTGTGGAATCCATTGAATGTCTCCACTGTGTTCCCTTCTCATATAGCCTCATTTCATTTGATACTAGCCCATTTAACGGAGATGGAAACAGGCCATTATTACATGGAGCGACTCAATCAGGCTTCTGCAAAGAAATCCTTGTGCTGGGGCCTCACAGAAACCCATAGACCTTTTTTGCTCTGTTTTCTGGGTTTCCAGTCATGGTTTGAGCTCCTAGCTTCCTTTTGCCTGGACCAAGGTGTCACCACGGGTGGGGACACAGTGGGGAGCACCAGAAGAAGCCTTGAGGCCTAGGCGTCTGGGCGATGCAGGCAGGGAGGACCAGCATCTGTCCTGGGGTGCCCCCTCGCGGCATGTGCTGGGATTGTCGGATGCATCCTCTGAGCTGTTCCCGTCCCTATCGTAAACAGGGCCTGATTCCTATACAAACATCTGACCCCGTCCTTTAGATGACTTGGCCATAACATCAGCTAAAAAGTACAAGTCAAGCTTCTTAATTGTGTACTTAGTATATTGTTATTGTTGCTGTTATGTGCTGTCTAGTTGCTTGCGATTCATAGCGACCCTATGTACAACAGCCCTAAACCCTGCTCTATCCCTTGCCAGTCTTACTGTCTCTGACACACCTATGCCCGTTACCTCAGTCACTGAATCAATCTATCTCATCGAGGGTCTTCATCTCCTACGCTGTCCCTCCACCTTCCCATGCATGACATCTCTCTCCTTGCAACATGTCCAAAGTATGTCAGACGAAGCTTCAGAATCCTTGCCTCCAAGGAGCAGCCTGGTTCCACCCTCCCTAGGCTGAATCTGTTTGTTTTTCTAGCAGTCCATGGTACCCTTAATACTCTTCTCCAGCACCACAGCTCAAAGGCATCAATTCTCCTTCTATCCTTTCTAGCCATTGTCCAGCTCTCTGAAGCATAGCAACAACACTATTTAACATTTACACTACTTACCAGTTATTAACTGTACCTTTATTGCTTGCACTGATGAAAAGGGGTCTGTGATGTGCTCAAGGTAATTTTTCTTTTTTTAACCTCCAATTTCTTGTCTTTCTACACTCAGCAGAGCAGTCCACACCTTGACAGCAGAGGTAGTGCCCGAGTCCAAAGCATGAGAATCTCAGATCCAGACCGTTTCCTGTAGAGGGTAGGGGATGGGGAGTGGACATGGGAGGTGGAGCCTAGGGGGGGCGTGGCACACTCTGGACAGGCTAATGCTGCAGCCCACCAGCCACTTTCTGCAGCAAGAACAGAGTGCTTCTGCATCACATCACCAAGGATGCAGTCTGCACAAACAGGGCAGAGGGCTGCCAGACCTATCGGGAGGAAGACCTCTACAAAGGTGGTTGTTATTGTTGTTAAGTGCTGTCGAGTCGCAGGCGATTCATAGCGACCCTATGAAGGAGAGTCCTCGATGCTTGGGTGTCCTTCATCTTCTCTCCAGGCTCATAGGGTTTCCGGAGGCAAGCTATTATGGAAGTGGATGCCACTCCTCCTTCCACGCTTGTTTAATCGGGGAGCTCCACCCCACTCTCAGTCCGCATTGGGTAACCAACCATTAACGCATTTGGCACATCCGTGTCACAGTGTTCAGCCTCACAGCAACCACAAGTGACCACGGGAAGGCAACTTGTACACCAGGGCTATACGACCTAGAGGAATGTCTGAACAAAAGCAATGAAAGACAGGCCAGAGGGCCACAAACTAAAAGTCACCCACCTTCGTCTTGGTCACATCGTTTTCTCTTCACTGGGTCAGCTGATCTCTCTCTCTCTCTCTCTCTTTCTCTCTCTGTTGATGTTAATGTTGTTAAGTGCCTTCAACCCAAGGCCAAGCGTGGCTTCCCTGGCTCCTGGAGGCAGAGTCACTTTTCTCCAGAGACCGCCACAACACAACCCAACACAAAACCCACGTACACAGCATCATGCTCTCTGGCCAAAGGATCACAGAGCAAAGGTGGAGCAGGAAGAATAAAAGGACCTCTATAATGGAAGGGGGTGGAAGCAAAATGCAATTGGCCGGCATCCTTAGGTCCTCAAGTCTCCAAGGCTCATGCGAGATAATCAAACTAAAATGAATGTTTCCACACAGACTGTGGATGACAAGAAGTCATTGTATGCATTGCTGACTACCAGCTTCCATCTCTTGGCACAGAGATAACTCACTCAGTCTGCCTTCACCCCTAGAAGCTCTTAAATATCAAAGCATTTATTTTACCATGTTGAGTGCTCTTACACAGCTGGCGATGGTGTTGCAATGGCCGTTAGAAACTGCTCAGTGGGGCCATGAAGCCACTTGGAGCGAGGTGCCAGGGAAGGTGCCCTACACCTGCCACATCTGAGATAGGCCAGTAGGAAACACCGGCTTCACCTGGCCACTGCCTCTCCCACACCCCTGTCCTGTGGAGAACCTCCGAGTGGCCAACACCAAAATGCTTCCTGGACCCCCTTGGTGCAACCTTGCCACCAAAAGTAGCTTGGCCTTGGGAGCCAATGTATGTGGGTTCAAACCCTGGCTCTGCTTTGTTCTGGCAGCGGCCTCGGTTCCCCCTAGTCAGATGGATTTTTCAGGATCATCACAGGTATATTGTTTGTTGAGATTCTTTTATAAAAGGACACAGTGCCGAGGTGGTAGTGGTGCTGGTTAGTAAACTTCTGGGCTCTGCACCTGCGTGAACAGTACTTAGAACCAGGAATTAATTACTCAATGGGGTATCACCCCAACGGGCATCACCAGAACAGAGGTGCCAGCAGATAAGACTCACAGAACGTGGAAGGAAACTGGGAGGGCAGTCAATGAAATGGATGTTGTTTTAGAAATAAATGTTGTCTATGGTCTCAGACATTTTGGATATGTTGCCAGGAGGGACCAGTCCTTGGGAAGGACATCATGCTTGGAAGGATGGAGGGACAGTGCAGGAGAGGAAGACCCCAGATGAGATGGATTGACACAGTGACTGGGACAACAGAGGCAGGTGTGTTGGAGACAGTGAGATTAGCTCAGGATAGGACAGAGTTCCAAGCTCTCGTGCAAAGGGTCACTACGAGTTGCAGTCAACTCGACAGTGCATAATAACAATCCACAATGGTAGTTACATACTTCTTTTCATTTTGGACCAATTGAATGTAAGCTCACATTTAGTTCTCTCTCAGCTGTCAAATTAGAACATGCCAGAGGTATCACTATCACTGGGCACCCCGATTGCACGTTTTCCAAGACAGATTTTTTTGTTCGTTTGTTTTTTGGGCAACCCACTGAAATTCAATACTCTTTTTAAAAAAATTATTTTAATTGAGATTTTAATGAAAGTTTATAGAGAATTTAGATTTCCATTCATTCGTTGTTGCACTCATTAGGTCTTCGCTCATTAGTGTTCAAGGCCTCAAACCTGTTCCTGAAATGGTT